CCCTCTCCTCTAAGGATGGCAGATGGGTCGCGGTCTAGGGCCGAGTATTCGTTCCGATTGGCAGGGGATGCTGCGGGAAGACGGTGGGTTGGAGACCCCTTTTACGTTCCCACTCTTACCACGGATATGATTTTGGGTATGGATGTCATACGAGATCTCGGACTTGTGACGGTCGTGACGGAGGTGATAAGAATGGGCGTGGGTGAGGACTGTTATGGTCAAGTGGGCTGCCTAGATACGATCGAAATTGGTGACGAAGACCCCGAAGGCCCTTGCAATGGAAATCCCTGTCTGGTTTCTGATGCTAAATCATTCAGCATCATGTTGGCTGGTAGTGGCAAGTAGAAGATGTTTTATTTGTTTTAAGTTTGAGACCTGTGGTGTAGGTTTCACCATTGGGTTAGGTGTTGGAGTATTTTGTTTTGGCCGGAGTTTGAATTTCTTTTTTTTTTCATCCCGATGTAAGTGGGGGATGTAACGAGTTATTTTTCCTAGGGGGGTATATTTTCGTTATTTGGGCCGCGCGTCTGTTGAGGTAAGCAAGCGGCGGCGGCGAACCTGGCTAGCGCCCTTTGACCCGGCTTATCAGTTCGGATAAGCTTGGGTATTCGGGGACTACTGGATAGCCGAGGAGGACATTCTAGTGGTGGATCCCGGACAGTGAAGAAGGCAGTGTTGGTGTCCTGTGGAGACGGCTGGCGTACGTTGGAGGTACAGAGTGTACGAGGTGTGACGGTGAGTGTTGGTGTTAGGTTGGGTGATGAGACCCACTACTGGTGAGTGGACGACGTTCTTTTGATTTTGTTCTGATTTTGTTTGTTTTGATTTTTTTTCTTGGCATTTAGCTTTGCTTGTTTGGCTTGGTATGTATTGAGACCAGCTACTAGAGGTGTAGTCACTCTGCCGTTAGTGCACTTGTATTATTATATGGTATTATTATTGAGTAAACTGGTTGATTCTTAGCTTGGGCATTAGAGTTGTGTATTGGATTATAGTGGCCTAGTAGACCCCGCCTGGTGATAACGGGCGTTGTGGTTTTTATTGGCAAGTCGTCGTGTAACTCACTGTGTTTTAGGCACTCTGGGCTTAACTATTGGATAGTTAGGACGAAGCCCGAGTTGCGTAGTCAGCAACGACCCCCTAGGAGTGTGGAGAATCGGCGTAGGCCTGGTAGTGATTATTTCACGTTTGTTTTGGTGACTTGTTTTTTACTTGTTCACAGTGCCCGTGTATGAGCCAGTCCTATACCGGTTAGACCCGGCTTTTGGCCTAGTGGTTTCCGTGACCTTATCGCAGACCCTGGAACTTTACCCAGCCATTGTAGGCTGAGCTATCCTCGGCAAACGGTTGCAACTGCACGCACTATTAATTTTTTTTTCCAGTGCAGAAAGGAGCGTTGCAGACAGAAATCCCGCCAACAGACAGATTGCCGCCAACGTCAGGTGGCGTAGACAGCGTGGCGCGAAACCACGGTCTACTTGATCGAAACGACTTTACACGTTTGTATATTGTAAAAACTACCTTTAACAATAATATCCCCGCCGCAGCAAACCTGCCGACTAAGCAAATTTCCATTTGTCTGAATTGATTTTCAGTTAAATGTATTTAATTAACATTAGGTTTTATGAGTACCTAGGCTTGCTGCTACATGGAGGGTAAAAAAAGTGTGTTTTTTGGTAAAAAATTAATTACTTAGTATAAAATCAATAAATTTGCAAAGTTTGATCAAAATATATCCATAAACAAGCAAACTACTACATTTTACAATATTCCCCATAAGAATAACGTGGAAATTTTAAAATAAATTTTTTTTAATTTTTTCCGTTATCAATAATTGTACAAAAACACTTTGATATACTAAATTATTTGTTTTTTAAGCTCTTTAAAAAGGTCTGGAGAGAGATTTAGAAATTATTTTTACCCCATAAAACCACCCGTAAAACCCCGTTCCCATGGTCCGATCATGCTGGTTCGCGAACTCATTCAAGTTTATCCCGCCTTACACCTTCAAACCAAAATATATATATACATATATAAAAATTTGAACGAATGGTGTTTTCGGCCTCTGGGGACATCAAAATGAAAAAGTAAATCGGTCCCGGGCTTAGGTCTTACCATGCCACCTACGGTAATAGCTACTTCCCTACAGGGAAATTCGCTAAAAACAAAAAGAACAGCCATTTATAGTGATTCCATGCCTTTAACAAGACATAAAATTAAATTAAATGTAAATTGTTCTACAAATAACCGCGCAGTAATAAAAATACGAAAATACGATCTAATCGGCCCGTGGCGTTTCTCGCACTGAACTGCATCGACGATCATATCGGCCCGCGGCGGTCTTGGCATCAAATTTGCGAGCAGATGAGATCGGTCCGTGGCGGTTTTCACAACATCAGGTAAGTCCGATCTAATCGGCCCGTGGCGGTAAAAGGGTTAAATAGAATTAATTTAACAAGTACTTAGGTTTGCTGCAACAGGGAGGGTAAATGTTTTTTGTTGTAAAATGTTAATACTGTAGTTTAGTAAGAAATTAATGTATTTTCCAAATTTAATCAAAATATGTTCAAAAAAAGCAAACTACAAAAGTTGACTTATTCTCCATAGGAATAACATGGGAATTTTTAAATTACATTTTTTTGAATTTTCTCTGTAACCATTAGGCGCATAATAACGCTTCAATATACTAAATTATTTCTTTTTTTAAGCTCCACAAAGCAGTTTAAAAATAAATTGGAAATTTTTTTGTTTTTAGGGTAAAAATGGGAAAAATCCATTTTTACCCCATAAAACCCACCGTAAACCTCTGTTCCCATGGTCCGATTATGCTGGTTCACGAACTCGTTCAAATAAACGTAGGTTTACACGTTTGTACAAAATTTCATCAAAATCGGACCATTTTTGCTCGAGTTATTGCGCGGGACACACACACACACACACACACACACATATATATATATATATATTAATAAATAATATATAAAATAACATGAGTACCCTTTTTTCCTTCTTTTTGACTTAATAAAATCACACAACATGTTTAATGTAAATACAACATCTAGAAAACAAAAAAATCATGAACAATGTCAACCCAATGCTGAAGGATATCATATATTGGTACAGGTATGTTGATGACATCATATGCTTATTTAAAATTGACAGCCATACCCCAAATCAACTATTGGATTACTTGAATACAATATCAAAATCAATTAAATTCACATTAGAAGTTCAAAATTCATCTATAAATTTCTTAGATTTGACCATAGCCAAAGAAAACAATTTACATAAATTTAAAATTTTTAGAAAGCCTACTGAAAACAATCTTATCATCCCAGCAAATTAAAATCATCCCTGGCAACACAAAATGGCAACATTCCATTCATATATTAATAGACTTATTCACATTCCCATGAATAACGAAGACTTTCTTGAAGAAAAGGAACATATTATAAAATTAGCAAAGAGTCATGGATACAGCAGCAAAATAATAGAAGAAATGATCAAGAAAAAAGGAGGCAGAAAAAACCAACAAGTCGAGAAAGAAAAAAGAAAACATGAATTTTTATGTCTACCTTACTCAACTACATTTAACAAAGCATATAGGAAAACATTTAACAACCAAAATTATAAGTTATCATACAGAACAAGAAACAATTCATTTGATTTAATCAACAAATTTTTACAGTCAAACAATAACATATCAGACATAAAAGACAAATCTGGCATATACAAATTAAACTGCAGTTCATGCTCAAAATTCTATGTTGGCCAAACAGGACGAAATTTTCAAAGTAGGTACAAAGAACATATTCAAGCAATTAAATCGAACAACAGAACAACACAAAAATCTACATTTGCAGAACCCATACTTTCTACAGACCATACATATAAAAATTATAACGAAGACATTGCCATACTAGACATTATTAACAAAGGAACCAAAATGAGCATAAAAGAAAATTTCCACGTATAAACACTACAAAGAAGATAGAGACAACATCTTAAATATAGTACACACACAAACCACTATAATCGGGACCACTTAAGTTTGCAGTTGGTGGCAGCCAATCACTAGACAAGGCTAGTGCGACGTTGCCACATCGCCCGTTGACAACACAAATTACAATATACGAAGCAATATTTTCAAATCAGCTGGTATTATTAGATTAGGCAACACTGCACGGTTCTCATTGGTTCATTCAAAACCATATGGTAAATAGGCTACTCCCTCAACTGCAAACTTACGTGGTCCCGACTGTAATCCTATATTTAACTAGAAAAACCAACAACAACTAGACATTCAATCACATGCTAACAAAGTTTACAGCTGTATATATTCATAACATAATATTTTTGTTTGAAATTAGGTTAACACTTGAAGATGTCATTGTAGACAAAACATGTTGTGTGATTTTAAATAAAAAAGAAGGAAAAAAAGGGTACTCATGTTATTTTATATATTATTTATTAATATATATATGAATTTGAACGGATAGTGTTTTTGGCCTCTAGGGACCTCAAAACGAAAAATTAAATCGGTCCCGGGTCCAGTCTTACCATGAGTACTACGGTAATAGCTTATTCCCTATATGGGAAATTCGCTAAAATGTAACTAATTTTAATTAATTTAAAAAACGTTAGAAATTATTTCTCACTAACAGACCCTTAATTGCCCCCCCCCCTTAGAACCCCCCTTTATGACCCTTGTGTTATTAGAAGATTTTTTCCAATTTCCATTGATAATAACAATATTCTCTGTAAAGTAGTCTTAGGTTAAATATAGTGTTAAATATAGGTTAAATATACTGTTAAATATAGGTTAAATATAGTGTTAAATATAGGTTAAATATACCATTCTGTACACAATGTGCAATACGAATAAAGTTATTTTGATTTATTGATTGATTGATTGTTAGGACAATACTGAGTCCTCGGAGTTCACCAAAAACAAAATGTCTGCCTTCAACATTAGACCAAGTTTTGATTGAGATGTTTACCATGTCTCTATGCTCTAGGTTGGCTCCATGGTCCAGTAGTTCCACACAGACCTGTGTGTGACCCTCCTTGGCGGCACACAACAACGCGGTCCAGTTGTCCTGCAACAGTACACAAATAGCAAAGTTATCTCCACAGTGAAATATTTTAAATCTAACTGATACTTATGAGGAGAGACGTAGGAGTTGGCTAACTCAGGAACTCGCTAACTCGGTCGTGTGTCGGAACTGGCTAACCACCTCAGTCAGGAATACTAACTCTGGAACCCGCTAACTCGATTTTGTCTCAAGCGGAATTCGCTAACTCTGGAAGTCGCTAACCCGGCCGCGCCCACTGAACGGAGCGTTACCAACCGTGTACGACGAAATAATCGTACACTACCTTATTTCAAAATGTCAGTGTCAATAAATATACAATAAATGATATTGTTTTTTGTTATCAATTCCACTTTTAACAGCTACCTAGCCCAAAGTAATTAAAAGGCAATTCAAAAATCATTAAAAAGTGATTTTTTATTTAACCGTACAAGGGACAATTAAAAGTTTATGATTTTGCCATCAATTAAATATAAATGCCATCAGTATTATAGGAAAATATTGAACATTCGGTAGTACCAATTAAACCTCTACGAAATTAAGCTTAAATACACGCAAGTTCTCAAACGCAGAAAACAAATTTTATCGTGGTTGTAATAAACTAAAACCATTAATTAATACAGTTAGTAGAAATAAATTGAAGGTCTTTGGATATGTCAGAGCAAATACGACACTCACACAGGTTGTGGACTCAACTGAAATAATTGATAACTCCAGCCCGGCAGTTATATTAGGTGGAATTAATGACTGTCTGAAAAATAATTTTAGGGATATTTATCTGAACTTGGAGAGAAAAATTGCTGTACTCAGTAAAAAAGGCCTGTTTTTCTTTGCACCATACCACAAAGACACGATGAATTATTGTACAAGGTTGTCAAAGAAGAGCTGCAAGTGGTTAATAATTACATAACTGAATTAACTCGCAGAATAAGCAATGTACATCTGATTAATTTAAGCAGTTTAAGAAGATGTCATTACACACAACATGGTCTCCATTTAAACGACCTGGGTAAAAGCAAACTAGCTAGTCTCATCTTTAATGCTTTGTCTCGATGGTCAAAACATAAGAATTCGACCCGTGACTTTGTTGAGGATACAACTGAAATGGAAGTGTCGGATAGTTGTGTGGAAGAAGAGACAATTAAAATAGTGGACATAAATATGAAGGACGCATTTCAAAAGTATCAAGGCAGGGAAGATGTTGCGTTCGCACACTCAATACCAGCGGATCTTGAAAGCCCACAAAACATGACAGCTGGGGTCGCGGTGGTCTTTCGAGAACAGTTTGGGAGACCAAACCGTGAAAACTGCATAAACAGCCATCTAGCCTACCAAAAGAGTACTAGGGATGCAAGTATTTATAGCCTCATAACAAAACCAGAATATTACACAAAGCCTACAACACTGGACTATGACATAGCCTTTACTGAGTTATCCCAGGATTTTAAGCTGAAAGGTTTTAAAAGACTTGTGGGTTCTGCTATGGGCTGTGTACAAGACTATATTGCTCCCAGCCACTTTATAAATAACCTGATCAAATTCCAGGAAAAAACAGGAGCAATAATTGAAATAATAAGCTACAAGCAGAAGGCGAAAAGATTACTTTGGAACGGTATACCACATCATCGTTTTAATAAATGTCTGCGCCATCTGATTGCCCACCAACACTTGCAAACCACATCACAGATCCTGCCTGCCAGTCAAACAAGTTTAGTGAATGCAGTAACTCCTACGTCTCGGCCTCTATTTCTGCCTGACAATACAGAGCTCTTCAGAATTGGTGTTCATGGAAGTGGAAAAGAAATCGGTGTAAGTGAGGGGGGTGAAAAGCAGAGTAACGCGGTTGTGAGTGAGGGGGGGGGGGAAAGCAAAATAATCAGATTGTAAATTTTATAGAAAGCCAGTGTACAAGTAGTCTTAACGAGCAGAGAAGAACACCTGCTTTGGCTTTAAACTTAGGTTTGGGGGGGGGGGGGGTTTCGCAGGGAACGTAAGGCGTAGAGGTGTTCATTTAGGTGAAAACAATAAGCATAATTCGGTCATGGTAAAAAATAAAAAAATAACAATTTTTCACCTAAACATTCAGAATTTGGTATCAAGAGTGGAGTGTTTAGAAATGGCTCTAGATGAGATTAAACCTGACATTTTAGTCTTATCTGAGCATAATATGAAATCTGATGAGCTGAGCAGATTTAATTTAAACGGTTTTATTATAAATTCAGATTACACTCGGGAAAAATTTAAGAATGGAGGTGTTTTGATACTATCTAAACTTGGTTTAAAGTGGAAGCAGGTGAATTATGCTAATATTGAAATGTTAAGGGAAGAAAAAGTGTTTGAGTTCTGTCGTTCAAAATATTTTGTTGAAAGGGATGAAATGCTTTTGGTTGGTATATATAGATCACCTGCAAGTAGTGATAATGAATTTTTAAGTCGATTAGGTATCATATGTGACTATGTGTTATCAAAATACCCCCGCCGCAGCAAACCTGCCGACTAAGCGAATTTCCATTTGTCTGAATTGATTTTCAGTTAAATAATATTTTAATAACATTAGGTTTAACGAGTACCTAGGTTTGCTGCTACAAGGAAACTAATAAAGTGTGTTTTTAAGTAAAATATTGATAGCTTAGTACAAAATAAATAAATTTGCCAGGTTTGATCAAAATATATCCATAAACAAGCAAACTACAACATTTGACAATCTAATATATAAAATTCTCGTGTCACAGTGTTTGTCTGCAAACTCCTCCGGAACGACTTCACCGATCGTTATGAAATTTGGTGTGTAAATTCTGTAGGTATGCGAATCGGACGTAAACTATTTCCCGTTTCGAAATTCTTAAAAGGGCTCTGCCCCAGTGGCTCTGGAGTTTCCCACATTAACCTTATGAGAAATGGAATTAATGAATCTTAACAGCTGTTTCAGTTAAACAAGTTGGTTCTGTTCTATGATGTTCAATAGCATTAAAGTTACAAGGATTACCAACAGGGTGCAGCACTATTATTTCTTTTACATTTATGACAACAGCTAATTTGCAACCAAAAGGTGAGTGAGCGTAGCGAACGAACTTCAACCTGGAGGCGAGTTAGCGTAGCGAACGAGCTAACCTGAAGGCAAGTGAGCGCAGCGAACGAGCTCCAACCTAAAGGTGAGTGAGCGTAGCGAACGAACTTCAACCTGGAGGCGAGTTAGCGTAGCGAACGAGCTAACCTGAAGGCAAGTGAGCGCAGCGAACGAGCTCCAACCTAAAGGTGAGTAGGCGTAGCGAACGAACTTCAACCAGGACGTGATTGAGCGATGCGAACGAGATCATCTTGAAAATTAAACGTAACGGTACTTTCTTTCCATCGGTCTGTGTTAGGGGAAACCTATAACTTAGGCGATACGAAGTTCGCCGGGTCAGCTAGTATTCTCCATAAGAATAACATGGGAATTTTAAATTTACAATTTTTTTAATTTTCTCCGTAACTAATAATTGAACAAAAATACTTTTATATACTAAATTATTTGTTTTTTTAAGCTCTTTAAAAAGGTCTGAAGAGAAATCGGGAAATTTTGTGTTTTGAGGGTCAAAAGTGAGAAAAACCAATTTTTACCCCATAAAACCCCCCGTAAAGCCCCGTTCCCATGGCCCGATCGTGCTGGTTCGCGAACTCATTCAAGTTTATCCCGCTTTACACCTTTAAACCAAATTTCATCAAAATCGGACAAAAATTACTTAAGTTATCGCGTTCACGGACGTATATATATATACATATATAAAAATTTGAACGAATGGTGTTTTTGGCCTCTGGGGACATCAAAATGGAAAAGTAAATCGGTCCCGGGTCTAGGTCTTACCGTGCCACCTACGGTAATAGCTACTTCCCTATAGGGAAATTCGCTAAAACAAAAAGGTGGTAGTAGTAGGAGATTTTAATATAAATGTTTTAGTAAACAGCAAACAAAGCAAGGATTTTGATAATTTGTGAAAATCTCATGGTTTGAAATTTTTTGTAAATTTTCCAACAAGGGTCACAGCTAACTCAGTAACAGCTATCAATAATATTCTAACAAACATTCCAACCCAAGACTTAAAGACCACAGGAGTGATAACTGAGCTTTCTGATCACGATGGACAAATCTTAGAAATAAATATTTTAGATAAATGTACAGGGTGTCCCACGAAGGGGTTTAAACGTTTGATTTAATACTACTTGCCCATTTATGCTCCGAACATTTTGAAACTTTACACAATTTATAAAGTAGGTTTAAGAAAAGTTCTAGGAAAATTTCAGCTCCCTAACCCTCGTAAAAACAAAATGGTGGTATATTGAAAAAATGAAACTTTAAACACATTAAAAATAGTGTTTTTGGTTGTGTAAAATTTTTGTATGATCACATCCTAGGGAAAGAAGGCTTTTTAATCAGGAAATTAGAGCATAGCCTAATTAAAAACCTAAAAGTAGAGTCCAAAATTATTCAAACTGTGAGCAATCACTAGTTAATCAATAAATAATAATAAATTAGTTATTTTGATATAATTAGTTAATAAAAACATTCAATATGCCACCATTTTGTTTCTACAAGGGTTAGAGAGCTGAAATTTCCCCAGAATATTTTTAAAACATACTTAATAAATCATGTAAAGTTTCAAAAACATAGGTCTATAAATGGGCAAGAAGTATAAAGTCAAACGTTTAAACCTCTTCGTGGGACACCCTATATAAAAAACAATTACATTTTTAAAAAATCCCGACAATTCTCAGAAGAAAATAAGCTCCAATTTTATAAAATGCTGGAAAAGGAAAACTGGAATGATGTTTATTTGGCACCGGTAACAGAAAAGTACAATATAAGTAACAAGTACAATATGAGTAAAAAGAAGTTTTTTGATTTCCAAATTTATAATTCAAGTAACATTAACAAAACCACATGGAGAATATTAATAATGAAGTTTCAAACAAAAAAACACTTACTCAGAGAATATTAGTCTTCGACTAAATGATGAACTAATTGAAAA